TGTTTGACAACCCCAGCAATCTGCTATATAATAGGGTTTATATAATAGGGTTGTTTGACAACCCCAGCAATCTGCTATATAATATGGTTGTTTGACAACCCCAGCAATCTGCTATATAATAGGGTTTATATAATAGGGTTGTTTGACAACCCCAGCAATCTGCTATATAATAGGGTGTATATAATAAGGTTGTTTTACAACCCCAGAAATCTGCTATATAATAGGGCTTATATAATAGGGATGTTTGACAACCCCAGCAATCTGCTATATAATAGGGTTTATATAATAGGTTTGTTATACAACCCCTGCAATCTGCTATATAATAGGGATTATATAATAGGGTTGTTTGACAACCCCAGCAATCTGCTATATAATAGGGTTTATATAAAAGGGTTGTTTGACAACCCCTGCAATCTGCTATATAATAAGGTTTATATAATAAGGTTGTTTGACAACCCCAGCAATCTGCTATATACTAGGGTTTATATAATAGGGTTGTTTGACAACCCCAGCAATCTGCTATATAATAGGGTTTATATAAAAGGGTTGTTTGACAACCCCTGCAATCTGCTATATAATAGGGTTTATATAATAAGGTTTTTTGACAACCCCGACAATCTGCTATATAATAGGGTTTATATAATAGGGTTGTTTGACAACCCCAGCAATCTGCTATATAATAGGGTTTATATAATAGGGTTGTTTGACAACCCCAGCAATCTGCTATATAATAGGGTTTATATAAAGGGTTGTTTGACAACCCCAGCAATCTGCTATATAATAGGGTTTATATAAAAGGGTTGTTTGACAACCCCAGCAATCTGCTATATAATAGGGCTTATATAATAGGGATGTTTGACAACCCCAGCAATCTGCTATATAATAGGGTTTATATAATAGGGTTGTTTGACAACCCCTGCAATCTGCTATATAATATGGTTGTTTGACAACCCCAGCAATCTGCTATATAATAGGGTTGTTTGACAAACCCTGAATCTGCTATATAATAGGGTTGTTTGACACCCCCTGCAATCTGTGGTTGTTTGACAACCCCTGCAATCTGTGGTTGTTTGACAACCCCTGCAATCTGAGGTTTTTTTTACTACCCCTGCAATCTGTGGTTATTTGACAACCCCTGCAATCTGTGGTTGTTTGATAACCCCTGCAATCTGTGGTTGTTTGACAACCCCTGCAATCTGTGGTTGTTTGACAACCCCTGCAATCTGTGGTTGTTTGACTACCCCTGCAATCTGTGGTTGTTTGACAACCCCTGCAATCTGTGGTTGTTTGACAACCCCTGCAATCTGTGGTTGTTTGACAACCCCTGCAATCTGTGGTTGTTTTATAACCCCTGCAATCTGTGTTTGTTTGACAACCACTGCAATCTGGTATATATTGTTTGACACCCCCTGCAATCTGTGGTTGTTTGACTACCCCTGCAATCTGGGGTTGTTTGACAACCCCTGCAATCTGTGGTTGTTTGACAACCCCTGCAATCTGTGGTTGTTTGACAACCCCTGCAATCTGTGGTTGTTTTATAACCCCTGCAATCTGTGGTTGTTTGACAACCCCTGCAATCTGCTATATATTGATGCTTAGGATATTTACAGAGGGGGGGAGGGGTGGAGTGAAATGTAAAGACAAGGATTACAAAAGCACCAGAAACGAGGGCTAGATTAATGTTGCACGGAACAACAAAAACCTTTGAGAGAGTATTACACTATACATTAGTAAGTCATGATTACTCAGTACCGGTACCAGAACCATCATGTGTCTGTGGGGGGGGGGGCTGCAACCCCTTCGGCTGCAAAGAGCCTCGGATGTTTTAGAGGCCCAAAGTTGTGGGGGGGGGAAAAAAATCAATGAGATTTAAAAGCTGGTAGAACGAAATTGAAAAGTTAGAGAGGGTCTTCTTTGTGTGACCTCTATGACCTCAAAAACGTATGGTCTTTTTGTTAGTTTTGTTACCTGAGATGAAAACACATCTGTTCAAATGTAAAGAATCGGCTGCAAAGAGCCTCGGATGTTTTAGAGGCCCAAAGTTGTGAGGTGGGGAAAAAAATCAATGAGATTTAAAAGCTGGTAGAACGAAATTGAAAAGTTTGAGAGGGTCTCTATAAGTCAACTTCAAATGCAAACACACACACATACACACACGAATGGGAGGGAGGGATACAAATCCGAAAAGTTGAATGGGGCCTCCTACCTCCTAAGTCACGTGATGGCTCTGAACGCTTCATGAGGGCCTGAACCACATGCGGTAATAGCTCCCATCATCATCATCAGTAATGCTACAGTCCATGTAGGATCCTGGCCTGCTCCACTACATCCTTCTATTCGGTTCGATCCATGGCTTTCCGCCTCCATGCGCAAACCCCAAGCTGGTTTACGTCCTTCTCTTCAAAATCAATCCATCTCCGTATATCCTATTTTTTGTGCAGATAGGTCAAAAACAAAAAAATTATCAGTCAGGTTTTTTTTTTTCGTTTTTGATTTTTCTTTCCTAACATTTGATTTTTTTTTTTTTTTTTTTTTTGACGGTGTCATCAACCATGCGCAGAACCGTCAGATGAGTTGCCCCTTGCAGCTCTCAAGGCAGCTGCCTTTGTATTGTGTCGGGTCCATGCCCTTAGTGGATTCTTTCACTTCCTACAAAGCATTAGGTCTTGATTTTGGACCGGCCCAGGTATTTAATTCCCCCCACCCCCCGATACCCGTCATATCTAGTGGGCTTTCCCCATCCACCACCATGGGAGGTGCTCATTGGTTGGTTTCCCTTATGTGCAACCTATGGCAGAACAAATAGCTCCAACTGAGATCCTGAGCAATGATTCCCTCCCAAAAAAAAAATGGGTACAACAATAAAACGAAAATATAATTTTTTAAACGACGAAGTTTTCATTTCATTTTTAAAAAGAATCGAATCTGGTATCTGTGACTCATTACAATTAGTGGAGCCCATGAAGTATCGGTACTCGATACGCTGGATATATTTGATGAGCCGTTTTTAAAAGGCTAACCTTGTTACTGGCTCACAAAATTCGACTATAATAATTATCGTACTATTCCGAAAATTACCCGCTACTATTTTTATAGGCCGAGGGCTTACGTCCTCATATTCGCACATATGGCTATTTTTATAGGCCGAGGGCTTACGTTCTCATATTCGCATATATGGCTATTTTTATAGGCCGAGGGCTTACGTTCTCATATTCGCACATATGGCTATTTTTATAGGCCGAGGGCTTACGTTCTCATATTCGCACATATGGCTATTTTTATAGGCCGAGGGCTTACGTTCTCACATTCGCACATATGGCTATTTTTATAGGCCGAGGGCTTACGTTCTCATATTCGTACATATGGCTATTTTTATAGGCCGAGGGCTTACGTTCTCATATTCGTACATATGGCTTTTTTTATAGGCCGAGGGCTTACGTTCTCATATTCGTACATATGGCTATTTTTATAGGCCGAGGGCTTACGTTCTCATATTCGTACATATGGCTATTTTTATTTATTTACTTTTATTTGCTCAGGCTCAGTCTCGTCAAAAATCCCCGTTAATGTTTGAAACGTGTCCAAAATGCCTTTGTTCACGCGCCGTCCCCACAACTCCAGTTTGGCTTTAAATGCAGCTACTTTGTCTGCCAACTTGAAAACAGTTGTCATTCTCCCTTGAAGTGACAGATTGAGTTCATTGAGCAGGCTGAATATGTCACACAGGTAAGCCAGTTTTGCGACCCATACCTTGTCAGTGAAATAAGTTACCAACGGTAACTTCTTTTCTGAGAGAAATCTTTGCAATGGTTCTCGTAATTCAAAAACACTGGTGAGCGATTTGTCTCTGGATAACCATCGTATTTCTGTGTACAAGAGAAGGCATCTGTGCTCTGCGTCCATCTCCTCACAAAGCTGCTCAAACAGGTGTGAGTTAAGGGCGTTTGCTTTGATGCAATGCATTGCATGCATTCACTCTCAGGTGCAATCTCCTTAATCTGAGCCATTACACCAGACAGTCGTCCGGGCATGGCAGCAGTTCCGTCTGTGCATATGCCGACACAAAAGGACCGTTTTAGTTGTCGATACATAACCATCCAATGGCTTAAACAGTTCTGCTCCTGGAGTGTTGGTAGGCAAAGATAGTTCACATAAAAAAATCCTAATGCCCATCCTCCTGATAAAGATATCGCACATTAACAAGTAGTATTGCCTTGTTGTCTATATCTGTAGATTCCACAACCTGTAGTGCATACCACGGTGATGTATTAAACATCTCCAACAATTGTGTCTTAATGTCTTCGGCTATTTCCTCTATGCGCCCTAGTCACAGTGCCAGGCGACAAAGGCACATATGCTATCTTTTTAACAGCAGCCTCTCCTCGAAGTTCAAGGCAAATGTCTTTAGTGGAGGGCAAGATAAATTCTTCACCAATAGTGAATGGCTTTTTAGCATTAGCAATACGGTTAGCCATCAAATATGATGCTCTCAGTGCAACAGGCGAACAATCCCAAGAGAAATACACCACAGTAAATAAAATGGAAATAATTTAATGTTTCTTGGGCGTCCCGGTACCATTTGATCCACGGACCGGTACCGGTCCGCGACCCGGGGTTTGGGGACCACTGGTCTTATACGACCCCACTTTAAATAACTATATCGTATCGATCATATATGATATGCGTGATTTTTGACTAATCTATAAATTATAGTATGATTAACCATAGACAATTATATAATTAAAAAATATAATATGTAAAAAAACAAAAACAATTTAGCTTAAAATAAAAACACCCTATTATTCTTTTAATGAAACGTTTTGTCATTTTATCTTTAGATATTTAAAAATATATATATATTTCTAAACTGCATTTTGATCATTAAAAAATTATTACCCTATTTTTTAAAATCACCATCATATTTAGATAATATTAAAAATTTATTTAGTATCGATTATTCAAATAATTTAAGAAGTATTCCAGTCCATTTTTATTTAGAAATATTTGACAAGATGGCGGTAACTGACGAGGAAGTGCGATCTCCTGACGATATAGAGATTGTAAAATTGAAAGTAAAGAAAGGGAATGTGATTTTTAAAGGTTCTGTGCTTGCATTGTATGTAAATCATGGAGATGAGAAGAAGCAGAGTAAGAAGCTGAAAGCGAATTGCTCTGGAATTATTTCACAAATAAATGTTGAAGAAGGAAATGCTGTTAAAAAGAAGTAAGAATTATTTAGTAGGTACTTCGGTAAAGCAAGGGAGACTACTAAAAAATTTGGGTAATCTTGCAGTTCAGGTGCGTACATTATTGCTGATCGAATTTCGTATTATGGCGTGTAAACTTGGGTGTATTCTTTATAAAATTTAATCCAGACAGTATTAGTTATCTCTAACACTATATTGAACAGAACTTTAATTTTTATTGATTTTTACAGCCCCATTTCTGCATAATAGCATAGATCTCTCCATTTTCTTGTTGATCATAATTGGCTGTGTGCAAAATGTTGCATTGGGAAACCATTCACAGCCACTTATATAATGACTATACCGTATTACTTTCTCAGAGTTTCATTCATAAGAGTTTGCCATGTGCAAAAACTATTACACCATTGGTCATGGAAAGCTTTTTATTAATTATTCATGTGCCAAAGTTGAAAGTTTAGAATAAGTCGATCCTAAACAGTATTCTAGTAATAAGGGGGTGCGTTGCCTTATATAAGCTATATAATAGTCATTGCGCATGACACGATCTGCGGAATGAGGTCACAAGATGCATGTGGAGATTTCGTCCATAGTAAAAAATACCAAATAAACTCACACTTTAAAAATTCGAAACTCAAAAATGACTAAATCTCAAAAGTTGATTCTGGTAACATTTATTTAATTTGAAATTTACTCTAAATAACTGTAATATCAAAAAAATATTTTAAAATTTTTTTACTGAAATACCTAGATTATCAGCCTATTAGTAAGTTAAAAAACATAAACAATTGAAACAGCCTAGGCCTTGGCCTTTAATTTATCTGAAATTACATATCATATCATAAATGTAGTATTACAAAGTAGCATGGCTGCCCGCAGGTAGGGGCAAGGTGGGGCACTAGAAAGTTTTCTGCGGGCACCCATGCAAAGTAGGTACTTTGACACAAAATATAAATTTTGTCTGAGTGCAATGAATGATACATCATTTTAAAGGTCTAGCTATAATAGGTACTTCGGTAACGCAAGGGAGACTACTTCAAAATTTGTATTAAAAAATGGGCGTCGGCGCTGTAAAATCAGAATTTTTAATTTTTTATTGTGAGTGTCAATTAATTAATAAATGAGACCTTTTGTCATGTAATTGAGTTCCGTTTCCATCCTTTCACTTTGGCAGATTTATTTGCACATAGCCATCATATCAAAGGTTACGCCCTATACTTCTGGGTCTAATAAACTTTTTTGAATATAAATTTGCTAACACTAAGTTACATGAATTCAAATTGGCATTGGATGATTGGCTGGGTAGTTAATTAAAAATGTCTGTTCGGTGCCCCACTCATTTCTGATGGCTGCCATCTTGGTTGCCATGACAGCAGATGTGCCATGGCAGCCAAGATGGCGGATATGTAAAAAAGAAAGAAGTGCACAAACTGTGTGCTATAATTTAGTATAATTGGGAGGGGAAAGATAGGGTATGTGCTGTTTTAGTGGCACTCCTCAGAATGCCAGTGCCTAATGTCATAGTCATATAGGCCTAGTATACTTTTCTTTATCAAGTGCCAGGCGACTACAACAGTTAGTGACATAATTGTTTTGGAGTTGCCTTGCAGACTAACTGCTTGTAGTAATATTTAAAAAAACAATATTGTGGCCGGCAGACCATGTCCCATGGCTAAATCGTCATGATGTTATTCTATTGGGTTTGCAAGTGAAATGCAAACATGTTATGCTTTTCGAAAGCATTGAAAGTTGGGACACCATTGACCTTGTAAACTTCAACATTTTTTACCTAATTGAGTGTCAGAATTGGTTTCATGTTCAACAAGGTGGAACACGCCATGGTCTGCTTTAAAACTACTTGTGTGTGACAGTGGTGGTTTAACAACAAAGAACAAGTTTTCAAATGGTAATTTAAGTTATTTTGATTTGATTTGATATTTATATCGCGCTTGTATCCATGCCACTTTAACATGCTCACTGCGTTCTGGTCCTTCGAAATCTATTGAAACAAAAATGTTTTTTATTGTTTCTTAAATGATTTTTTTTATCATTTACAATTCCCCTCAAAGATTGAGGCAAACTTTTCCATAATTTTGGCGCTATTGCTTCAAAAGAGCGCACTCCGTAAGACTTTTTTCTGTGTTCGTCCACTCTAGGAACACTCAGTAAGTAGTGTGTTGAAGACTGCATGCTCTTCAGGGGTACATGTTTATAAATTAGTTCCTTGAGATATTCTGGTGCTGAGCCATCTGTGCAGCTGTACGCCAGGGACAGAATTTTGTAGTTCATGCGCTCACTCACGTAGAACTGGAGATCTCGTAGAACTGGAGTGATGTCAGATTTTTTCATCCACGATACAATGCATGCTGCAGTAATTTGTATCTTTTGGAGTCTCTGAATTTGGTTCTGAGGTAAACCTCATAAACAACTATTACAGTAATCTAATCTTGACTGGATTAGAGTTCCTGCTACAGCATTGGCTGTTCTCCTATTGAGTTGAGGACGCAGCTGACCCAGGGCATGCAGATGACAGAAGCATGTCTTGATAACAGAACTGATATGGGGAATGATACTAAGTTTACTGTCAATATAAAAGCCAATGTCTCTGACAGTCGAGGACAACAGGATCTCTGATTCACCAACTTTTATTGATGCAATGGTAACTTTCCGAAGATTGGTGTCTGAACCAACCACAAATAATTGCCTCAGTCTTATCATTATTTAATTTTAGTCTGTTTGATGACATCCAATCTTTCACAGCTAGAGTGACATTTGACCATGTACTTGGTAATACATTCTTGAACTGCCAAATTAACTGCTCATTCGGTGCGTTTACTTGTGTTTTGGATTGTGGACTGGCATAAAGAGAAATGCCATTTTAGCTACTTACCAAGAGAAGCACAACATTAAAATTTAAAGAAATAATTTTTTTAGAAATACCTTCAATCCTATAAAAACTACTACTCTACCTAACCCAAATGCTAGCTCCATATCCCTAACTCAAGCATAAATTTAGCCCAAAATTTAGAGCCCCCTAACTAAATCTTCAAACCTAAAATCTATGACCTAAAGTGACCCTAAAACCATTTGTTCCTATGCTAATTTAAAATTGGGGGACATGAAATAACTAACATTAATGCTTGAGTTTGGGATACTGACTTAGCATTCACTTTATTCACGTTATGTAGAGTTGAAGATTTTAATTGCAAGTTTAAAGAAAAATAAATTTTTAATTTGTTGAATCTCTCACCTCTTTCAATTATTTATGATATGTTCTTTAATTCTATCATGTTTATGCAACATTCTTTTTAAAAAGACTCATTATTTCATTTGTTTTTCAATTTTAAAAAAAAACTTATTATGATGAAATTCATTTTTTTCATTTCTTTTGGTAGGGTGTTAAAAAACACATTTTTGGCTTTTCCCCTCCCCATTTTAGCTGACTTTTTTTACACAGCTGTCACCTTTCATGCCATGATATGTCTGTCATCATGACAACAAAGATGGTGGCCATGAGAAAAAAGTAGTGCAAAAAAATACAGGGAAATAAATGGCGCTGATTTCTAATTTTCACGTTTCAAATTCAGCGCAAGACAGCAGGTTGTTTTTATTTGTCTTTAGAGATGAGGGGCCATCCATAAAAGACATCAAGCGGCTTTAAAAAAAAGGGGGGGGGGGTCGTCAATGAATTTGTGATGATGTGTGTTAAAAGTGTCTATTTTGTGTTACAAACTACACTCCACAGAAATTTATGTTGAAGTGTCCTGTGAAATTGTGGCAGGATACTGATAGAAATGAATAGAGTACGGGTACTGTTTTTGAACCGATCAAAAGATATTCAAATGTAACATGAAACCGTTACTAAGGAAAATTCTTTTTTGTTGTATTTTGTTGCTTTCAAGTACCATGTTCTTACTATTTTGTTCACATGGCTTGAACACAGTGTCTACTTATATTATCCATTAATTTTTAAATGTAATTGAAAATCTATCTTCTTTTTTTTCTTCATATTGAAGTGATATTATCCTGGTTATTCAGCCACAAACAGAAAATGTATGCACACATCCAACAATTATGAAAGATATGTGTGCAGAATGTGGGGCTGATTTACGCAGGTAAGATATTTCTCATCCAATTTCATATCATTCTTTAAATTAGCAGTTTAAAGATTATTATTTTATAGCATACATACCAACCTTGTAGAATTAAAACTTTATACAAAAATTTAAAAAACCTGGTAAACAAAAAAATTTGAAGCTAGAATAATTACTGATCATTAAACATAGATGTTCATTTTCTAAATGACATATATTGTATGTAAATGGAATAATTTGTAATTAATGTAATGTATTTTTTCAGCCTCACTTTTCATACATAAATTACGTTATCAAACTTACCCTTTTTAAAGATACTTTTAAATCTTTTAACCGGGGAAACATTCATAATCGAAATCATCATTCTTCTCTTTGAGAGGACCAAACCTGAAATAACTTGCTGTGGCCCCAAAATTATATTTATGATGATGATAGGAAATAGGGCAGTTTTAATTCCTTTTTTGTCAGATTTACATTTTTATGTTGAAATGGATATTTCTTGAGTTGTTTACTGGGCTTTGTTCTTTGGGGTATTTTTATTTCTACTGTTAGCTGAAGAAGGCTTTATGCTGAAACGTCCTTATCTTTTTGTCCTGCTCTCTAATTCAAGCTTCCACATAATTCGTTTTGCTGTTTCATTCATTTACTTGGCTTGAATGCAGTCCTTTAATTTATAAATGTAACAGAACTGGTCAGACACTTTTTCCCCCAAAGAGAGACAATTTTGAATCCCTGCAAAGGTAGCTGCTGTCTTCTCACTTGGGTGGTTGAGGTATTTTACTCAAGGTTTACCTTCTCACTTCTCACAAACAAAAAATATGCCTTTCTTTGCTACCAAGTCCATCCCACCCGGCTGTTAAACCCACAGCAAGAGATAAGCTGGGACAAATTTCAATTTCCGATGGCTTATTTGAGATGCAGGTAAATAATTTCCTCAAAAGGCCAAGTGTTATAAAAAGATGTGCATGTTTCAACATGCATTCTGTTCATTTGACAAAAGTAAAGTTGTTTATCATTTCTTCTTTTTTTGGTCAGAGATAATGGTGTTGCTGGTGATAGAAAAGAATCAGTCTCTGCATCAGTTGCAATGGTTCATAGCATCCCAGAGTTGATTGTCAGTCAAGAGGTAAGTTTGGCCAACTTTAATTAGCCAATCATTGAGTCGGTATAACAGTTACAGATTTGTGGAGAAATGTAAACCCAGAAGTAACATTAAATATCAATTAAAGTATACTGTCAAATACATTGGAAAATGAGTGGAAGCTCAGCACTGATCGCTCAAAAATGTGGAGAATTTTTTAATTTTAAAATATCTGTCTTTATTTGGTGGAATTTTTACTATCCACAATTTTTCCGACACAAATTTTAAACACCCTTATAAATGATTTTATGCTTTTGTTGGAGATATTCTTGGTACCATATATACTCACTCATAAGCCAAGGCTGTAACTAGTACATGAAACTATTTAATGGTTGAACACTACTATTTTCCAGCAAGCCTTAGAATTAGGGAAAGAAGATGAGATAAGACTGTTGAAACAAAGGAAATTAGTCTTGTTGGTAGATTTGGACCAGACTCTAATTCACACAACTAATGACAACATTCCTCCCAATTTAAAGGTGAGTGAACCAAGCGTGAAAAAAAAAAAATGTTTGCCAAAGAATTTTTAAAGCTTCTCTAAAAAAAACTATGGCATGATGATAATATCATATATTTCTTTACTATTTGATAAAATCTTTTAAGAAAATTTCACCATTGGGCTAGCGAAATAGGTTCTCTTTTAATACCACAAAATATATTTTTTTACTAAAGGCATTCCAATATTCACTTAAAAAGCAGTAAGAGCAATCCATGTTTGATTTAGTTTTCTTGTGCTGGCTAAATATGTTCCTCTATTTTATGTTTTCACCAATATCACTGTGGTCTACAAATATATTTTGTCTATCATCAAAACAATTAAAGAATAAAAAAAGTTTATTTGCGTATATATTTTGTTTATATTTCAATTTTGGGAACTTTGAAATGATGGTAGCTATAATGAATATAACCTATGAATAAATCATTAAGGTTTATTTTTCTTAAGTTATTCTTAATATAAATTTTATTATTGTACAAGTTATTATAAAAAAAAAACTGTATGAGATGGGTGTATAAAGTTTTTCTCGAATGCCTGGGCCAGATTATAAAATTAATATTGAATTGTTACTAATATAAATAAAATTTCAACATCCAGGATGTGAAACACTTCCAGCTGTGGCATGGTAAAGGTATGATGTGGTACCACACACGCTTCCGTCCCTTCACAATGCAGTTCTTGGAGACAGTTTCTAAAATGTACGAGCTCCACATCTGCACTTTTGGTGTGAGGTTGTATGCCCACACCATTGCCAGATTTTTGGACCCGGAGGAAAAGTATTTCTCTCATCGAATTCTCTCCCGTGACGAATGTTTTGATGCTCTTTCAAAAACAGCAAATTTAAAGTGAGTTTAAAATCCGACTATGTGGTGTGTCTTATAACTGTACATTCTCTGATTAATAATAAAAGAGTCTTTGGTACATCTGAACTAAAGTTCTTTTTAATTTGTTAACTTTTCAGAGCTCTGTTTCCATGTGGTGATAAGATGGTGGGTATAATCGATGACAGAGAAGATGTCTGGAACTTCGCCCCCAACCTCATCCACGTGAAACCATATCGATACTTTCAGGGCACGGCAGACATCAATGCCCCTCCAGGTCTGACCAAATCAGAACATGACAATGAACCAGTGTCCCATAAGGTTGTGGCCCATTCAGATGAGCCGTCAAAGGTGCAACCGAAGCAGGCTGATGATGGGGGTGATTCCCTAGAAAAGTCATCAGAGACTGGAGTTACTGGTGATCTGAAGTCAGAGCCAGTGCTAGACAAAGACAAAAGTGAGGCATCAGAGGAACAGACAATATCCACCGATTCACAAAATGTAGTGTCAAATGGAGGGAAAGGGGGAAATGAACCAGCAGAGAAAGCAATCCTTGAAACTGAGCATGGGGTCACGGCCAAGGCTTTAAGTATTATCTCAGGTGGAAGTCAGAAAGATAATCCTTTAGCACATTCTTCAAGTGCTACTTCAAGTCAAGCCAACACACCTGACAGTCATACAGGTGACCTGCAATCCTCAACCAAGCCAGTTTTGAACACTGGTACAAGTGATCCACCAGGCAGTCACACAGGTGAATTGAAGCCATCAACAGAGCCAGTGTTGGACACAGGTACAAGTGAGCCACCAGGCAGTCATACAGGTGAAGTGAATGACTCTGTTATCACAAATGATCTAGTGCAGAGGTGTGACTCCAGCAGCAAGGATGGTGCTGAACAAAGTCAAAAAGAAAAGGCAGAGGAGTTGACAGAAGAAATAGAATGGGACGATGAGGATGACTACCTCCTTCACTTGGAGGAGATTCTAACAAGAGTGCACAAGGCTTACTATGACATGTATGAGCAGTCACAGAGCAAAGGCTCTAGCAAACTCCCTGACCTCAAGAACATAATTCCTTATGTTCGCAAGAAGGTCCTCAAAGGTGCAAACATCGTGTTCAGCGGCATGTTTCCATTAAACATGCCGGCCGAGCAGAGCCGAGCCTACACCGTGGCCGTTGCTCTGGGTGCCAATGTCCAAAATGATATCATTCCCAGGAAATCCAAGAGCGGTAAAAACCCTGATGCCACCACTCACCTGGTGGCAGCCAAACCTGGGACCGGCAAACATAAATCTGCCTTGAAGGCTAAGGGTATTCACGTTGTGACAGGAGACTGGCTTTGGGCTTGTAATGAGAGGTGGGAATGGGTGGAGGAAAGTCTCTTCCAACTCAGTTCTAAGGATTCATCTGCCAAAAGTGTTCCTAGCCCTGAAGGTAGTACACTAGCAAAGAAAAATTCCAATTTAAAAAGAAGAAAACCAAATGAAGACATTGGTGAGGATTGTGATGTATTTGAGACCGGTGGGGAAAATATAAAAAACAACGGTTCAAACAAAAAACAGAAACTGGGGGAAGAGGAGACGGCCAGTTCTAGTACCGGTCAGCCTGGTACGGAGATCACAGTTGACAATGATGATGTCACTCCTGAAAAATCAACAGATGGGAACTTTGCCAGTAGTTTTAACCCTTTGTATTCCTTTTCCGATGAGGACATTGAGTTCATGGATAAAGAAGTGGATGAGATCATGGATGAGGATGACGACAGTTCCGAGGAAAGTGATACGGAAAGAGAAACCCGTGTTAGAGGAGAGGTTTTAGGGAAATCTGCAGAATCTGATTCCGACTCTGAAAGTTTATCCGGAGATTTCCCAAGGGGCTGGAAACTCCGCAGGAAGTCATTTTCTCCAAATAAAAAGGAGGAGGTCGATGACGTGGAGAAGAAAACGGATGCCGAGGATGATGATGAGACAGAGAATGAACTAGACAGGTACCAGAACAACATTGCAGCTTTTGTTGGGGAAGATAGCCAGTCTGAGAGCAGTGAAGGGGATGACTCTATTGGCTCTGTGGATGATGAGATTGCTGAAGCTGTGGAGAAGGAGTTCCTGGGAACATAGTCTTGTAAGCAGCTCTTGTTTTATTCTGTAAATGTTCACACTCAAATCTGTGGATATTTCAAGGACTGCAGTGCCAGGGACTTGGTTGGAGAAATGATTCCACAATAGGAATGTATTATGGATGCTGCCTGTTAGTGACAGTATTTTTTGTTGATATTATAACTTCATATTATAACAAACTTAATCTTTTTTTTTTCACCCCAGCATGTTCATCTTTTTTTATAAAGGCTAAAAGTACAATTTCTATCTAAGATCAATAACATATATAACATATATACACAACTAATGACACACACATCCACACACCACCAGTAACACATAAACTACCAATAGCACATAAACACTACCCATAACACTTATATTTTATCAATAACACACTACCGGTACCAATACTACATATACACTACCATACCACATATTCACTACCAATAACACAAATACTACCAACAATGCATATACACTACTAAGATTACATATACACTACCATACCATTAACACATTCACTACCAGTGGTAAATATTATACTACCAGTAACACATATATGCTAAGTGTTAGAAAATTGAAAGTGGTGTCATGAATTTTATCATATGTTATATTAATGGGTGTTTCCTGGTTAGGTGACTACTGAGATGAAGCTTAGGAAGAATACAATTTCATTTTCAAACCCAGTGTGATAGGTAGATAACTTCATACATTTAATGGGAGATAATTCTAGACCCATAAGTTTTTTTCTCTCAGCTCCCTTCAAAATTTTTTTTTTACCCTTAAAAATATTGAAATGAATTTACCCTTGAGTTGTTTAGTCACGAAATACAGGCTTGTGATATTTTTTCTCTGGTGAAAAAATACAGGCTTGGGATATTGTAATGATTGCTGTGCAGCCCATCATGAGGGCCTGGTGATCTTATTAGCATTGAGCAGCCCATCATGAGGGCCTGGTGATCTTGTTAGCATTGAGCAGCCCATCATGAGGGCCTGATGATCTTGTTAGCATTGACATTTTGTTAATAGCAACGTGTAGGAATAATTTGTTATTTGTATCATACATCTTTTATTTGTATCCCGTATTAGTAGTATTAGTCTTTTCCATTGCAATATTACTGAGTTAGAAAATGAGGCAGCTATTTCAATGTAAACATAAAGAAATGAGATCCAGATGAGATATTTCTTTCATTTCAATGCATGATATTTTAGAGCTGTGTAAATACATTTATTGTGGTTGTTGGTACATAACTGCCAGTGGTTAAGATTTTATATTAACTCTGAATCAACTTTATCTTGCCTGAAGAACATCAAAATTTCATTGAAAAGATATGATTAGACAATACGGCAGATGTGCCCCTATTGAACCAAATCTTTGAGATAAAACCACCTGAGTGAGTTGGCTTAGACAGTTTACACATTTGGATTTATTGCATTCATTTTGTGCACAAAATATGACACGTGTTAATGACCAAAATGAGTAGTTTGCTAACATCCCCCTGTAACTGTTACCAATAGTTCATGTGGACATACATTAGGGTTTAAACATGTTGTGAATGGCAATGCAAAATGTGTCGTTGGCTTGGTGTAATATGTTATCTAAAGGGCTGAATTAAGGATGTGAAAAAAACAAATGTTGTTTCACTGTATGTTATGTTATTAAATGGTGCACAATCCCAAACTTCTCTTGAAATGTCTTGTTCCATACACTGAGTCTGGGCCAATTTATTCAAACTGTTCCATAGAATAAGTCAACAGAGAACTTATTTATATTTTAACAAGAACTGGATATGGTTATTTCAATCAGATATATCTACCATGTGTATTCTTCTTAGGTTCTAATTTGGTTACAACTGAAGGGGACAACTTTTCAAAAATACAATTAAAAATTTTAAAGCAGTTTTAAAGTGTAAAGGATATAAAAATGTGTACCCGGTATGCTTAGTATGACTAATAGTAATAGTATAAACAAAGGAAAAATATACGGTACTTTGTATAATAGAAGATTAAATTAAACCTAGAATAAATTATACGCAAGTTCATTAAATGTACACTTAGATGACATATAAAAGTGTTCAGGCATGTGTGTGGTATTACCTGTACTGTTTCAAGCTCAGTAACTGGGATCATAATCAATTTGACTAAAATTATCTGGCTACTCCAGAATCAGTTTTGTCTACTGTACTTGGTACAGTTACATGATAAAATAAGTGATTTAATCTAGAATTTGCCAAATACTTCAAGAAAGTATAATAATAATAATATAGTTTTAGGATATCAAGTTAATTTTAAGAGTTGTAATTAGATTAACAATCTTTGATGATGATGATTGAGTACTTTTATAGCGCTCGTGTCCATGCTATTTTAGCATGCTTTCACGTACAGCGCTCTCCTAAAATCTGTTGAACGAAAAAGTCTTTAAATGGCTCTTGAATGACTTTTTATCATTTAAAATTTCCCTCAAAGATTGAGGCAAACCATTTCATAATTTAGGCGCACTAGCTTCAAAAGAGAGCACTTCGTGTGAACTCTTTCCATTCACACTGGGAACTGTCAGTAAGGACTGTGCTAGAACGCAGGTTCTGTAAGGATGCATGTTTAGAAATCAGTTTTTGAAGATATTCAGGGGCCGAGCCTACTATTACTATACAGTTGTGAGCCAGGGACAGAATTTTGTAGTCAATGTGTTGACTCACAGTAAGCCAGCGGAGATCTTCAAGAACTGGGGGGATCTATAGGTCCAAAAATTGTTGCAGAGTACAAGGATTATTTAAAAATTACAAACTATTGTGTACAGGAGGTTCTACATCTCCAAGTTCAACCTTTGCGAATAATTTAAGCTTGGCTGCTAAACTGACAAAGAAAAAGCACAGTCATGTTACTAGCAAATGAATAATGTTCATTGCATGGTAAAATATTGGTCAAGTTTTATGTGAAAGGTAAATTTGAATTCGTTACCTTTGTTCCAATTATTCTGAGTGTGGATTCTAACCCATGACCCACTGAAGAGGTCTCCATACAGAAGGGTTTAGATTCATAACCACGGCTGCTGAGGAACAAGCCGGCCGGCCCGGTTGATTTGAAAAATATATCTTTTAAAAATTATTCTTAAAATTTACACCAATTGTTTTATTATCTCTCCTTGGAGAAGGTTTTTATTAGAAAAATAGCAGGATTGTATCTGATATTAAACACCGATTTAAGAAAAATGAGAACCATAAGTTGAAGGAAAGATATTCAATGAAGGACTTTGATGTTAACATTCACTTAAGAAGTAAGGAAACTATGTGGAGGGACAAATATTCAAGCCTGTCTGTTTTTTCAATGAACTCAGTATAAACATTTATTTTTCGGAATTCGACAGGATGTCACAGCTAAAATTTTTTGGGTTGAGCAAAATATTTATTTGGAAGCATATGATTCTATTCTTCCTTTATCTTGCTGAATTTTGAATGTTTAAGTGATGAACTATCACATGTGTTCAAGATTACATTTAATACTGTCATTGTCTTTGTGTACAGCGTGTTGGTGTAGTCTGCAGGGTGACATTGTCTTTGTGTATAGGGTGTTGGTGTAGTCTTCAGGGTGTCATTGTCTTGATTTGTGTGTAGGGTGTTGATGTAGGGTGTCATTGTCTTGATTTGTGTATAGAGTGTTGATGTAGTCAGTAGGGTGTCATTGTCTTTGTGTACAGAGTGTTGGTGTAGTCTGTAGGGTGTTGGTGTAGTCTGTAGGGTGTTGGTGTAGTCTGCAGGGTGACATTGTCTTTGTGTATAGGATGTTAGTGAAGCTTGCAGGCTAAAATTTTCTTTGTGTACAGGGTGTTGGTGTAGTCTTCAGGGATTCATTGTCTTGATTTGTGTATAGGGTGTTGATGTAGGATGTCATTGTCTTTGTGTTTAGGGTGTTGGTGTAGTCTGCATGGTGTTGGTGTTAAGTGTCATTGTCTTTGTGTACAAGGTGTTGGTGTAGGGTGTCATTGTCTTTGTGTACAGGGTGTTGGTGTAGGGTGTCATTGTCTTTGTGTACAGGGTGTTGGTGTAGTCTGTAGGGTGTTGGTGTAGTCTGTAGGGTGTTGGTGTAGTCTGCAGGGTGTCATTGTCTTTGTGTATAGGGTGTTGGTGTAGGGTGTCATTGTCTTTGTGTACAGGGTATTGGTGTAGGGTGTCATTGTCTTTGTGTACAGAGTGTTGGTTTAGGGTGTCATTGTCTTTGTGTACAGAGTGTTGGTGTAGTCTGTAGGGTGTTGGTGTAGTCTGTAGGGTGTTGGTGTAGTCTGCAGGGTGTCATTGTCTTTGTGTATAGGGTGTTGGTGTAGGGTGTCATTGTCTTTGTGTACAGGGTGTTGGTGTAGGGTGTCATTGTCTTTGTGTACAGAGTGTTGGTTTAGGGTGTCATTGTCTTTGTGTACAGGGTGTTGGTGTAGTCTGCAGGGTGACATTGTCTTTGTGTATAGGATGTTAGTGAAGCCTGCAGGCTGTCATTGTCTTTGTGTACAGGGTGTTGGTGTAGTCTTCAGGGTGTCATTGTCTTGATTTATGTATAGGGTGTTGATGTAGTCTGTAGGGTGTCATTGCCTTGATTTGTGTATAGGGTGTTGATGTAGGGTGTCATTGCCTTGATTTGTGTATAGGGTGTTGATGTAGTCTGTAGGGTGTCATTGCCTTGATTTGTGTATAGGGTGTTGATTTAGTCTGTAGGGTGTCATTGTCTTGATTTTTGTATAGGGTGTTGATGTAGTCTGTAGGGTGTCATTGTCTTGTTTTGTGTATAGGTGTTGGTGTACTCTGTAGGGTGTCATTGACTTGATTTGTGTATAGGGTGTTGATGTAGTTTGTAGGATGTCATTGTCTTTGTGTATAGGGTGTTGATGTAGTCTGTAGGGTGTCATTGTCTTTGTATACAAGGTGTTGGTGTAGGGTGTCATTGTCTTTGTTTACAGGTTGTTGGTGTAGTTTGTAGGGTGTCATTGTCTTTGTGTACAGGGTGTTGGTGTAGGGTGTCATTGTCTTTGTTTACAGGTTGTTGGTGTAGTCTGTAGGGTGTCATTGTCTTTGTATACAAGGTGTTGGTGTAGGGTGTCATTGTCTTTGTTTACAGGTTGTTGGTGTAGTTTGTGGGGTGTCATTGTCTTTGTGTACAGGGTGTTGGTGTAGGGTGTCATTGTCTTTGTTTACAGGTTGTTGGTGTAGTCTGTAGGGTGTCATTGTCTTTGTGTACAGGGTGTTGGTGTAGTCTGTAGAGTGTGGTTGTCTTTGTGTACAGGGTGTTGGTGTAGTCTGTAGAGTGTGGTTGTCTTTGTGTACAGGGTGTTTGTGTAGTCCGTAGGTTGTTGGTTTAGTCTGTAGGGTGTCATTGTCTTTGTTTACAGGTTGTTGGTGTAGTTTGTAGGGTGTCATTGTCTTTGTGTACAGGGTGTTGGTGTAGTGTGTCATTGTCTTTGTTTACAGGTTGTTGGTGTAGTCTGTAGGGTGTCATTGTCTTTGTTTACAGGTTGTTGGTGTAGTCTGTAGGGTGTCATTGTCTTTGTTTACAGGTTGTTGGTGTAGTTTGTAGGGTGTCATTGTCTTTGTGTACAGGGTGTTGGTGTAGGGTGTCGGTGTAGGGTGTCATTGTCTTTGTTTACAGGTTGTTGGTGTAGTCTGTAGGGTGCCATTGTCTTTGTTTACAGGGTTTTGGTGTAGTCTGTAGAGTGTGGTTGTCTTTGTGTACAGGGTGTTTGTGTAGTCTGTAGGTTGTTGGTGTAGTCTGTAGAGTGTCATTGTCTTTGTGTACAGGGTGTTGGTGTAGTCTGTAGGGTGTTGGTGTAGTCTGTAGAGTGTGGTTGTCTTTGTGTACAGGGTGTTTGTGTAGTCTGTAGGTTGTTGGTGTAGTCTGTAGGGTGTCATTGTCTTTGTGTACAGGGTGTTGGTGTAGTCTGTAGAGTGTGGTTGTCTTTGTGTACAGGGTGTTTGTGTAGTCTGTAGGTTGTTGGTGTAGTCTGTAGGGTGTCATTGTCTTTGTGTACAGGGTGTTGGTGTAGTCTGTAGAGTGTGGTTGTCTTTGTGTACAGGGTGTTTGTGTAGTCTGTAGGTTGTTGGTGTAGTCTGTAGGGTGTCATTGTCTTTGTGTACAGGGTGTTGGTGTAGTCTGTAGAGTGTGGTTGTCTTTGTGTACAGGGTGTTTGTGTAGTCTGTAGGTTGTTGGTGTAGTCTGTAGGGTGTCATTGTCTTTGTGTACAGGGTGTTGGTGTAGTCTGTAGAGTGTGGTTGTCTTTGTGTACAGGGTGTTTGTGTAGTCTGTAGGTTGTTGGTGTAGTCTGTAGAGTGTCATTGTCTTTGTGTACAGGGTGTTGGTGTAGTCTGTAGGTTGTTGGTGTAGTCTGTAGAGTGTGGTTGTCTTTGTGTACAGGGTGTTGGTGTAGTCTGTAGGGTGTCATTGTCTTTGTGTACAGGGTGTTGGTGTAGTCTGTAGGGTGTCATTGTCTTTGTGTACAGGGTGTTTGTGTAGTCTGTAGGTGGTTGGTGTAGTCTGTAGAGTGTCATTGTCTTTGTGTACAGGGTGTTGGTGTAGTCTGTAGGTTGTTGGTGTAGTCTGTAGAGTGTGGTTGTCTTTGTGTACAGGGTGTTGGTGTAGTCTGTAGGGTGTCATTGTCTTTGTGTACAGGGTGTTGGTGTAGTCTGTAGGGTGTCATTGTCTTTGTGTACAGGGTGTTTGTGTAGTTTGTAGGTTGTTGGTGTAGTCTGTAGAGTGTCATTGTCTTTGTGTACAGGGTGTTGGTGTAGTCTGTAGGTTGTTGGTGTAGTCTGTAGAGTGTGGTTGTCTTTGTGTACAGGGTGTTTGTGTAGTCTGTAGGTTGTTGGTGTAGTCTGTAGGGTGTCATTGTCTTTGTGTACAGGGTGTTGGTGTAGTCTGTAGGGTGTTGGTGTAGTCTGTAGGGTGTCATTGTCTTTGTGTACAGGGTGTTGGTGTAGTCTGTAGGGTGTTGGTGTAGTCTGTAGGGTGTCATTGTCTTTGTGTACAGGGTGTTGGTGTAGTCTGTAGGGTGTCATTGTCTTTGTGTACAGGGTGTTGGTGTAGTCTGTAGGTTGTTGGTGTAGTCTGTAGAGTGTGGTTGTCTTTGTGTACAGGGTGTTGGTGTAGTCTGTAGGTTGTTGGTGTAGTCTGTAGAGTGTGGTTGTCTTTGTGTACAGGGTGTTGGTGTAGTCTGTAGGTTGTTGGTGTAGTCTGTAGAGTGTGGTTGTCTTTGTGTACAGGGTGTTGGTGTAGTCTGTAGGTTGTTGGTGTAGTCTGTAGAGTGTGGTTGTCTTTGTGTACAGGGTGTTGGTGTAGTCTGTAGGTTGTTGGTGTAGTCTGTAGAGTGTGGTTGTCTTTGTGTACAGGGTGTTGGTGTAGTCTGTAGGTTGTTGGTGTAGTCTGTAGAGTGTGGTTGTCTTTGTGTACAGGGTGTTGGTGTAGTCTGTAGGTTGTTGGTGTAGTCTGTAGAGTGTGGTTGTCTTTGTGTACAGGTTGTTGGTGTAGTCTGTAGGTTGTTGGTGTAGTCTGTAGGGTGTTTGTGTAGTCTGTAGGGTGTTTGTGTAGTCTGTAGGTTGTTGGTGTAGTCTGTAGGTTGTTGGTGTAGTCTGTAGGGTGTTTGTGTAGTCTGTAGGGTTTTTGTGTAGTCTGTAGGTTGTTGGTGTAGTCTGTAGGTTGTTGGTGTAGTCTGTAGGGTGTTGGTGTAGTCTGTAGGGTGTTTGTGTAGTCTGTAGGTTGTTGGTGTAGTCTGTAGGGTGTTTGTGTAGTCTGTAGGTTGTTGGTGTAGTCTGTAGGTTGTTGGCTTAGTCTGTAGGGTGTTTGTGTAGTCTGTAGGTTTTTGGTGTAGTCTGTAGGGTGTTGGTGTAGTCTGTAGGTTGTTGGTGTAGTCTGTAGGGTGTTTGTGTAGTCTGTAGGTTGTTGGTGTAGTCTGTAGGTTGTTGGTGTAGTCTGTAGGGTGTTTGTGTAGTCTGTAGGGTGTTGGTGTAGTCTGTAGGTTGTTGTTGTAGTCTGTAGGGTGTTGGTGTAGTCTGTAGGGTTTTGGTGTAGTCTGCATGTGTCATTGTCTTTGTTTACAGGTTGTTGGTGTAGTCTGCAGGGAGTGTAGGTAATATACGGTATCTATTTCAAAGATATCAGACATTTGTTCGTGCCCAAGATACTAATGGTCATAAGCAGTTTGTGTGGGTCTCAATGTCCATCGAGGCCTGAGTTATTCTTTGAATGGGATCAATGTCCATCGAGGCCTGAGTTATTCTTTGAATGGGATCAATGTCCATCGAAGCCTGAGTTATTCTTTGAATGGGATCAATGCCCATCGAGGCCTGAGTTATTCTTTGAATGGGATCAATGTCCATCGAGGCCTGAGTTATTCTTTGAATGGGATCAATGCCCATCGAGGCCTGAGTTATTCTTTGAATGGGATCAATGTCCATCGAAGCCTGAGTTATTCTTTGAATGGGATCAATGCCCATCGAGGCCTGAGTTATTCTTTGAATGGGATCAATGTCCATCGAGGTCTGAGTTATTCTTTGAATGGGATCAATGTCCATCGAGGTCTGAGTTATTCTTTGAATGGGATCAATGTCCATCGAGGCCTGAGTTATTCTTTGAATGGGATCAATGTCCATCGAGGCCTGAGTTATTCTTTGAATGGGATCACTGATCACCAGCCTTTTTATTCTAAATTGACAATCTGTCTAGTGCAGTGGTTCTTAACCTGGGTTCGATCGAACCCCAGGGGTTCGGTGAGTCAGTCTCAGGGGTTCGGCTGAGGTCCCAAAAAACATAAGAAAAAATCATATTTTATTTTTCCTATTAAGAAGGGTTCGGTGAATGCGCCTAAGAAACTGGTGGGGTTCAGTACCACCAAAAAGGTTAAGAACCACTGGTCTAGTGTATTTTAGCATTTTAAAATATCTGTAGATTTTATTTCCACCTGTTCACCGGTGCATGCTTTTGTCCTTAAATACCGTTGTGATGATTCTTCTTTCCCATGCATACATTCATTGAACATTGCTGGGTTACCCAATACAATTCATGATAACAGATGTCGCGATATTTGCTTTGTTACTCAATCTGGATCAAAGTTTGTTATGTAGTTATCTGACACCGGTGTGTCTGCTGTTGTAAGCGAGTTTTCCTGAGGAAGCACAATGGGATGAATAGTAAATTTCCTTTCCAGGAACTACTCCGTACAGTGGCGTCGGAAGCGGAGGTGCAAATGGGTGGTGGAGGTTTGTTACGCCACTGACTCCGTGTCTCATCTATTACTATTTTTGTCTTAATACTAAATTATTAACATAGTTGGTTACATATTTTTTTTACCGACTGTTATAAAATGTAAGCAGATATAATGCTAAGATCAAATTTATGTTACTACAATACAAGCGGACACTTCCCCAGTGTGTCCATCTTACCGGTACTTTACTAATTATTATTTATTAGTAAGTTGTTAGTCAGTCAATAGTCAGTACCTTTGTCAGCGAATAGTCCGAACCTTAGTCAGAGAATAGTCAGTACCTTAGCCAGTGAATAGTCTGTACCTTGGTCAGCGAATAGTCAGTACCTTAGTCAGTGAATAGTACCCTAGTCAGTGGATAGTCAGTACCGTACCTTAGACAGTGAATAGTCTGTACCTTAGTCAGTGAATAGTCAGTGCCTTGGTCAGTGAAAGTCAGACCTTAGTCAGTGAATAGTCAGAGAATTTAGTCAGTGGATAGTCAGTACCTTAGTCAGTGAATAGTCAGTACCTTAGTCAATGAATAGTCAGTACCTTAGTCAGTGAATAGTCAGTACCTTAGTCCTTGAATAGTTAGCACCTTAGTCAGAGAATTTAGTCAGTATCTTAGTCAGTGAATTTAGTCAGTATCTTAAAGAATATCTTATTTTCTCGCGGTATCAAATTCAAGTAAAGTGTGTGTGGGGGTGGGGGGGGGGAATGGTGTTAGGTGTGCAGCCTCCTGCTGAGCTACTTGAGATAACTTATCAATGTTTGTTGACAGCTTGGCCTGATTGTTCATTGACACCTTCCCTGTCTTTCCGGTGACAAGGAACTTGTTTCTAAGCCACAAGCTCGTAACTCTTTTACTTGTAGACCAGACAAGTAACTTGTTTCTAAGCAGCAAGCTCTTAACCTTTGTAGGTCGTAGTAAATGTCATAGATCATCTTACGTTACCGTACTAACTTTACGTCTGTTAGCGTTGATTTATACAGCGGCTTTGAGTATTAAAATGTTATTTTCTAAGTTCTAACGCAACCACACAACAGCAGAACCACACACCAGCAGGACCACACAACAGCAGAACCACACAACAGCAGGACCACACAACAGCAGAGCCACACAACAGCAGAATCAATCAACAGCAGAACCACACAACAGCAGGACCACACAACAGCAGAATCAATCAACAGCAGAACCACACAACAGCAGAGCCGCACAACAGCAGAACCACACTACAGCAGAACCACACAACAGCAGAACCACAAAACAGCAGGGCCACAAAACAGCAGAGCCACACAACAGCATGACCACACAACAGCAGAGTCACACAACAGGAGAACCACCCAACAGCAGAACCGCACAACAACAGGACCACACAACAGCAGAGCCACACAACAGCAGAACCACTCAACAGCAGAACCACACAACAGCAGGACCACACAACAGCAGAAGCACACAACAGCAGAACCGCACAACAACAGGACCACACAACAGCAGAACCACTCAACAGCAGAACCACAAAACAGCAGGACCACACAAAAGCAGAAGCACACAACAGCAGGACCACACAACAGCAGGACCACACAACAGCAGGACCACACAACAGCAGGACCACACAACAGCAGAACCACACAACAGCAGAAGCACACAACAGCAGGACAACACAACAGAGAGCCATGACGATCGACATTGCTCTACAAAAAGTCTCCTATAATTATACCGAATTCAACTCTAGTCTGGTGTAATTGTAATATTAATTTTGTAATGAATCAATGTACACTGCATCATTATGTGCAGCAAGGACCAGAACACACACACACACATTCACACACAAAACAACAACACGATATAACTTAATCTACAATATATCAATATTTATTACTCTCAGAACAATAAACAAAGAAGATAATTAATTAATATGCAACTCTTAGTCCGAGACTATCACAGACATTTATTAATGAGTTGTTTTTTTTTTTTTAATTCTCTTTTTAATAGTTGGTAACTTCATGATTCATAACATTCATATTGTTCCCACAAATGAAACCATTGACTAGTTAATTTCACTAGTCATTCAACTACTTGAGCTTAGTTACTCCATTAAAAAAAAAATCATTTTCATTGTGGAAAACCCACAGGAAAGACATTGGTGGTTAAGAAAACATTAAATAGATATAGTCTATATATATAATTTACATGCTCTCATTAAAGGGAAATTTAAGAATTGCCATTCAAATGTACATATTTTATTGTATGTGTTCGTTTATTCACGCCAATAATTCAATTTACACGATATGTAGCATAATGCATGTAGCCTATAATTAGTATAATAAATAGGCCAATGCCAATATGTCAGTTATGTTGGGGTTAACATAAACTTTTGATAGAAGCTAATTGAGTTCTTGTGATAACGATACATACAGCAAACCTTATTTATTCATCAATATAACCAGATGATCCCCCCCCCACCCCGGTAGTTTCACAAGGGGTAAAAATAGCTTTTAATTTAGATTGTTAGAGCGAACGAACCGGAAGCTCTAGATGGGTTGGGAAAAGGGGGGGGGGGCTACAGGGGCTGTCACTCCCACAGGGCGCTGTGATAAACGTAGAGGAATACTTGACTTATGATAGTAGCAATTTGGGTTGAGTCATAAAATGGTCCTTTGTTCTTTCACTGTCACCACTAGCGCAGTCACGTTGTTTTGAAGATGTTGAAACAAAGTGCCAAATATCAATGTAAAAATGGTGTTTGGGTATTTGACCCATAAGAAGATACGATATTATAAAAATCCATCATCTATAATGATATTTGCTTGGTTCCAGCTTCTGTATCTGATGTTTCATCGAGCACCAGGGTCTAAGTAGAGTTTTAGCTTGGCTGAAATCAAAACTAAAACAATGAAGATTGCTGCATTGGTAGGTGGGTGGATGAGAAGATGGCGTTCAGGCCTATGCACTTTTTGATCGGCTCTTTATTTGTATATAAATTATAATTGTCAACTTAAATAGGTTAGGAGTCAAAAAATACTTGGAAGGAATCAGTAATACTATTTCCCTCGGCTTAACTACAGATGTTTTAATCATTGTTTTGACATAAAACCATGAGTTGTTGCTTAGAACATGCTGATTTGATTTCTCTAATGAGTGTTTACTTTTATCGGTTAATTTTGATCCCAGCGTTTAGCTGAACATTAAGTCGGGGTTGATTTGATTGCGTGTGGCGTTTAATTTAAGAGCTAAGTCTTTAGCATCGATATCTTAGAGGCTGGTCGTTGCTATGCTACCCTGTAAACTCCTCGCTATGGCGCCATCAAACAATGACCTCATATCGGCCAGATGACGACACCACCGTGTGCACGTGTGGTGTTGTATGACTTCTCTGATCCCAGCCTCTCCTTTGTCCTTGGCTCCGAACCTGCCGTCAAGAGAATGAAGGGTGGGAGATGTAAGAGTGTAATGACAGCCATCATCTTGTGTTCCGCCCAGGTCACAGATGGCGATCTCACCCTGCGTCTGCGTGAAATGGTAATGAACGAACGCGTGGAGAAGCTCGTGCTGGCAATGTTCAAGACAGCCCCCCGACCGACTTCCGGCAGAGTTTGGAGCAGATGGCTCTCCGTGCTGACAGATTTCATCGAAATCCGGGCAGGTTCCGCCCTCTCGCTCAAAATGACAACCGGCAAGCCTCATTCTGATGTCAACCTCACTCTGCTCGTAGCTCGGCGGACTGTCGCAGTATGGTGGAGGCTGCACGCTGTCTAGGACAGGATCTGGCAACGTCTGAGAAGTGATTCCACTACTTCTATGTCTTCCCACCTCTACGCAAGTTTGAGACGATTCCGAGATAGTTCTCTTCCTGGTTGAATTCCTCCTCACCAACCCGTTCACTAATCCAGGTCTCAACTCCGCAAGCCCGTGTCTATCAATAAATCTTTTAAAATTGTCCAGCTTCGGCTGAAAAGTGTAGAAATCTCCGACTTGCCTCTTTCTGCAAAATGTCGCCGTCTCATCTAATTTGGCCATCCTCAACTCCAAAAACTCCAGCCTGGACTGGCATTTTGAGATACTGTTTATCGTATTGTTGAACTTCCTGGCGATTGCTGAAGCCCTTTCAGTCACTCTTATCTCATTCTCCGCCCATTTCTTGGTGCATCCACCTGGTGCCTTGTTGAACTTGGAAACAGAAATCTGCTCCCCAACTTTGAAATAGCACATGCATGTATACCACGTGGCATAAGACCCGGATTTTGAGGTCGTGGGATCGATGCACACTCTATAAAATTGCATGGCTTTGTCCGGGCAGGAGCGGTACGTTTTGTGGGAAATCCTCATCATCGAACACCGCGATGGATCAAGTTGGATAGCCCGTCAGGTGAATTTGCGGCAGTTCTTTGCCCCTGTCTTTGAGGATTTCTTTCAAACAGTTCACACTTTGAGACATAAAACTGTTCCAAAAATATATATAAATAAATTCATGACAGAAAATAATCAACAAATCTTTATCAAGACTAGACACACAAAGAACAACAACAACAAAATCTCTTTGACCGTCGTTTCCCCCCAAAATTATCTTCTGTCGTTGTTTTAGTTTCGCTTTAAAAAATTGAAGAAAAATAGCGATGATAGATTTGAATCAATAAAAAATAATAACCTTCTCCCCCCAAGCTGACATTCCAACACTATCATTCACTCCTAAAAATGTGTATACTTTCGCAACATCATCCTAATACATTCCAAACCTCATCATACATTCCGAATTCCTAACATCATCATTGATCATACATTTATCATTTCATTCGGATTCTACGTCCTCGATAAAGTGGTGATTATTACCTATGCCTGAGTGGAAGTCAAGGAAACAGTGTGGTCTATTTAACGTTGTTGTTTGGTTTTTAAATTACATTTTTAAATTTTTTAATTAGTGGTTTATTATTATTTTTTTAAATTCTGCTTTAAAAAAAAATCCATTCTTCTTTTTAAAAAAAATTAACTAAAAAATAAAAATAAAAAACTAAGCGATAACTAAGCATAAACATTAAAACTACATATTTATGAAAATTAACAATAACAAGTTTAAAAATAATATTTTAATATTTCATTATATAAAATTTAAATGTATGAAAACATTAAAAAGTAAGCTTACTTTGTTTGCTGTTTTGTTTTATTGTTTAAAAGTGTTTTTACTACTGCTAACACCGGCTGCACTTGACGCAAGTCTTGTGGTTATTGTTCCCACCCTCACTAGCACTTGCTGTTTATAGAGCTGTTTGGGTAATCCATTTTTTTTTCAGTGTGGGAATTCCCGGTTTTGTCGCGCGCACATCTGACTTTCTATTTCTGGGAAAAACAACAATTTTTAAATTTCGGAAAATACAGATTCATTTCGCTAAAAATAGAGTCTTACTAAGATGTAGTTTGGTTGGAAAATTAATAGTAATAGTATGGATGTGCTGGGTCGTTCATATCAGAAGTGTTGGAAGGGGGCACACTCAAAGGTATGCCCCTACCCTCACAGGCATCAAATTATGGTGTTCTGAAACCGCCATTACACCCAGATATTATGCAGGTGAATTTATAAATGTTATTTAAAAAATTCTTCTTTTTGTCACTTCTTACACGTTACAGATTATTAGCTTTGGGCTGTGGCCAGGCTGTGGGTGCGGGATTTATGTTTTGGAATCGAGACCAGGGTGTGGGAAATACTTGAAATCGACAGTGGGGTGGAATGCCGCTAAAGGGTTAGGTACCCTTGGTTTGTATGCTCTTAGTATAAATGATAAAATATTAAATATAATAATTTATGCAGACCGCATGTCATAACCTAAATAAAGAAAACGAATCCCAAAAAAATAAACGGCGTGCACAACCATTTATTTATTTATATATTCTTAAATCACAAAAGCTCTCAGATGACAGCACATCTTTAGCCTATACTGGTAATGACAACACACCTACTCGTGATGACGACACACCTACTCATGATGAGACACACCTACTCATGATGACGACACACCTACTCGTGATGACGACACGCCTACCCGTGATGATGACACGCCTACCCGTGACGACGACACACCTACTCGTGATGAAGACACACCTACCCGTGATGACGACACACCTACTTGTGATGACGACACACTTACCCATGATGACGACACACCTACTCGTGATGACGACACACCTACTCGTGATGACGACACACCTACTCGTTTTGATGACACACCTGCTCGAGCCACCTTACATATATTTAAATTGTATAGATTTAAATCAAAATTTCACTCTTTAATATAATTAGACGGAGAGCTTTGTTGGAGGTGGAAAGATGACCGTCACTGTCACTTTGAATGACGAAGGTTGGGAAGGGGGGGGGACGCGGCAATCGAGGGCGTTCACCGAAATCTCCCGAGAGAAAGTGCGTGAGGGGTTATGGGATACATTCAACAAGCACGGATGCATTTTGGTGCGTACCTGAATTTAGTTTTGCGCCGTTTCGTGCTTAGCCCGAGAACAACAGACGAAATGCTAGTAACATGTTTGGATCCTTTACCTAGCTGTGCTGATTGAAATCCTTTCAGTTTACTAGTTACTAATTAGGAATTTAATATTTTTTTTTTTTAAATATCAGTCCAGAAGTGGGGCTGATATGTCGCAATGGCGCAAACCGCCACAACAAAGTGCTCTACAAAATGCGCGTTTATGCCCAGAATGAAAATAATCTCTAGAATGAAGAATTAAATTAATGTTTGTGATAGACCGGGGATGAAAGAAGCCAAACATTGAGTCTGTACTCGAAACAGAAAGGATAACGTTCCAAACTTAGCATGTTCAATTTTCTTCCTCGTCCAACTGGAGAGCGAGTCTCCCATTTCCTATGTTATAAAAAAAGGAGGAGGAAAAACTACCAAATAAAACAAACCAAAAACAAGGAGGCCAATTTTTTTTTTTTTTAAGTGCTTTAGATAAGTCTGGATTTTACCGGACAAATTCATTTCGGTCACCTCTTCCTCATCATTCAGCCATAATTACGTTTTATGTATCCCATCTTCTGACATATAAACATATCAATTAAACATTTAGAATACTAACAGTTTGAGTATAAGAATCGGACGAAATATCAGGGCCGTCTTATCAAATAGGCACTGTAGGCACTGTGCCTAGGACCTACAGGGGCCTACTGATCTACAGGAGCCTATGAACGTACAGGAGCCTAAGGATCTACAGGGGCCTACAAACCTATAGGGACATACGAACCTACATGAGCCTAAAACTTACACGGGCCTAAGAACCTACAGGGGCCTACGAACATACAAGGACTACAAAAGTCTAAAAATGAAATTTTAAATACCGGTACGAATGTGCCCAAATATAACAAAAACTTAATTGAATAAAAAAAATATTTTCATTTCCTTTTTTAAGTTTTAGACAATTATAAATTTTTATAATATTTAAAGTAATCTTTATAATAAATAACATAATTAGATGATGTTAATATTTTGACTTCTTGCGTTCCTTCCTAACTGATGCTTTTATTTTCCATGCTTGGATTCCCAGCTGCTGTACTTGTTTTCAAACATCATCCAACCATCTACGCCTAGTTCTGCCTCTGAGCCGTTTTCCCCTGGGATTTTGGTGGTGCACCCTCTCCACTCCTCTGTCATCTGACATTTTTTCTAAGTGTCCCACCTAGCCTTCGGCGATCCTAAAACGGCCCTGGTAAATACATCAACATATATGAATGTTTTCCTCAATTAAATAAAATATTTGTATTACACCTTTTACCTATATACATATATATATATATANAGATGAAAGTATACATTTCGAACACACTATACTATGAAGTTAAACAAAATAATGAGATGAAAGTATACATTTCGAACACACTATACTATGAAGTTAAACAAAATAATGAGATGAAAGTATACATTTCGAACACACTATACTATGAAGTTAAACAAAATAATGAGATGAAAGTATACATTTCGAACACACTATACTATGAAGTTAAACAAAATAATGAGATGAAAGTATACATTTCGAACACACTATACTATGAAGTTAAACAAAATAATGAGATGAAAGTATACATTTCGAACACACTATACTATGAAGTTAAACAAAATAATGAGATGAAAGTATACATTTCGAACACACTATACTATGAAGTTAAACAAAATAATGAGATGAAAGTATACATTTCGAACACACTATACTATGAAGTTAAACAAAATAATGAGATGAAAGTATACATTTCGAACACACTATACTATGAAGTTAAACAAAATAATGAGATGAAAGTATACATTTCGAACACACTATACTATGAAGTTAAACAAAATAATGAGATGAAAGTATACATTTCGAACACACTATACTATGAAGTTAAACAAAATAATGAGATGAAAGTATACATTTCGAACACACTATACTATGAAGTTAAACAAAATAATGAGATGAAAGTATACATTTCGAACACACTATACTATGAAGTTAAACAAAATAATGAGATGAAAGTATACATTTCGAACACACTATACTATGAAGTTAAACAAAATAATGAGATGAAAGTATACATTTCGAACACACTATACTATGAAGTTAAACAAAATAATGAGATGAAAGTATACATTTCGAACACACTATACTATGAAGTTAAACAAAATAATGAGATGAAAGTATACATTTCGAACACACTATACTATGAAGTTAAACAAAATAATGAGATGAAAGTATACATTTCGAACACACTATACTATGAAGTTAAACAAAATAATGAGATGAAAGTATACATTTCGAACACACTATACTATGAAGTTAAACAAAATAATGAGATGAAAGTATACATTTCGAAACACCGTCTCCAACTTTAAATGTATACCATTTTAAAAATTTATTTAGGCACTCTTGCACGTAGGAGTGGCCTCCTTGTGTTCAAATTGCAATGGCCTTGATACCTTGTTTCCAAAGGTGAAGATGTTTGGAGGAAATCTCTGACATTTGCTTACATAGTTGTAATTGTATTTTTTTAAAAATTATAACAATTGAGCTTCGGGTAAGTTGTTGTTCTGTGCTTGTGTGTGTGTATGTGTGTGTGCGTGTGTAAAATTGTGTTTCGGCTTAAGCATTTATTTGTTTCCCACCAAGGTCGAAAACTGTGGAAAAAAATCAGTCTGTGCTATGCTTCTCTAAATGATTTCACGAGCAGCTTTTACGTGATAACTTTAATATTTAATTTTAAAAAATATTTTTTAACGCATTATGCCACATGACCCGGGTCCCTTTAGACCAGAGGTCCCCCAAACTTTTTTTGTCTCGTAGACCACTTGCAATGTTTTTCGGCTTTGGGTAGATTCCTTGCTTTCCTGATATTGATTGTTATTACAATTATTGATTTAATCAAATTAATGTGTCAATGGAATAAAATAGTGCATTGTGAAATCCCTATTTGCTACTAATACTATAATCGCGAAAATAAGCAACTTATCTCCGTGATCTTGTGCGCAGATACATTTGGAGGTCCAGCTAGCTAAAGAGTTGACACGTGTGGAGGTCTAGCTAGCTAAACAGTTGACACGGGTGGAGGTCTAGCTAGCTAAAGAGTTGACACGGGTGGAGGTCTAGCTAGCTAAAGAATTGACACGGGTGGAGGTCTAGCTAGCTAAAGAGTTGACACAAATGGAGGTCTAGCTGGCTAAAGAGTTGACACAGGTGGAGGTGTAGCTGGCTAAAGAGTTGACACAGGTGGCGGTCTAGCTAGCTAAAGAGTTGACACAGATGGAGATCTAACTAGCTAAAGAGTTGACACAGGTGGAAGTCTAGCTAGCTAAAGAGTTGACACAGGTGGAGGTCTAGCTAGCTATAGAGTTGACACGGGTGGAGGTCTAGCTAGCTAAAGAGTTGACACAGGTGGAGGTGTAGCTAGCTAAAGAGTTGACACAGGTGGAGGTCTAGCTAGCTAATGAGTTGACACAGGTGGAGAACTAGCTAGCTAAAGAGTTGACACAGGTGGAGCTCTAGCTAGCTAAAGAGTTGACACGGGTGGAGGTCTAGCTAGCTAAAGAGTTGACACGGGTGGAGGTCTAGCTAGCTAAAGAGTTGACACAGGTGGAGGTCTAGCTAGCTAAAGAGTTGACACAGGTGGAGGTCTAGCTAGCTAAAGAGTTGACACAGGTGGAGGTCTGGCTAGCTAAAGAGTTGACACAGGTGGAGGTCTGGCTAGCTAAAGAG